TACGAATGAGGGACTCACTCTAGAGACCTGGCACCGGTTCTGATGCTGTTGTTTTATGCGCTTATGAACAGTGGGACAACCAGAGAAACATATCTTCATGACCAAAGTCTGGAATTGAAATAAAAATGAAAGTTTTGGGAAACTTAGCTCGTCACCCTTCCGTCCACCATTAATACAATGATCCAAAGATTGTATGAACCATGAAAAGATCTTAAAATCAATACAAATGTAGTTTATTAATAAACTTAGTCCCTTAGCATCTATCACCGTGTATGCACCATCAAACATCTTTAAAAGTGAACACCGACCCCCACACAGCTCAGTAAAGACGTGAAATGCTGACTTTATTGATAATTCAGTAAAACTAATGTTCATATTTCTCTTTTTGATTTATAAAAACTGATGAACGTTCAAAAACAAAGCACTTTTGCAAGTTACCACCATAGTTTAAAATGCTTAATAAGCACGCCGAACTTCAATAAATCGGTTGTTCCCGTGCGGCCGACTGTGCGGACGGGCAAATGCTGGGCGGCCTGGCAAGGCATGTGGGGCAGCATTTTCTCTCGTCCCTTCTCGTCAAGGGAGGTCCAGTGGTTCCTAAAGCTAAAGGAGGTTATAAAGGAAGTTTCGAAACGCCTCCCTTTCCTGCTTCCAGAGAATTTCGAAACCGCACTTATCAGTGGCGCTGGCCACTGAGGGACTTCCGGTCATTTCACGTCGGTTAGGAAAGGTTGCCTTAAGGCAAAACGGACTATTCGACTGGCAGCCCTGCCCGATCAGATCGGTCTCCCTTTATTGAAGATTATTCTACGACCTTTGAATCCACATCAAAACACATGCGGCAAAATCCGGCTATTGGAGCATGTGTTTTAAACAGTTTAATCCCTTTGTGAATTGTTCCACTTGTTAAATAATTAAATCGCCTGAGTACAATAACAATCAACAGCACTCCAATAGTGGCTCCATATAATTACCGCTCTCATCCTCCTTAACAAAATAATTCACATTCATCCAGGTGTGACAGTAGTTGTAGCATTTCTGAGACTTTTAAACTTTATTAAACAGCGGTAATTAAAGTCGCGAACTCTCCAACACTGAGCATTTGGGAAAAAAGGGGGAAGCCCGGTCTAACGCAGGTCACCAGCAAAACAGGACTTAGAACAGGGTTTCCCACCACATAGACTTACCTTGGGCGTCAGGTCTACTCGCATGTGCCCTCTCCCACCTTCAACAAAACATTCTTTACTTAGTAACAGGGTTTCCCAACACATAGAGCTTTACTTTGGGCGGGCCCGCGCCAGGTAGGTGTATATTTCACGAGGCGGCCCGCCCCCCCCCCCCAGAACGCACCCAATTTAAAAAAAAAAGAAGACGTTTATTAATTTATAATTTTTTGTTGTTTGTGAGACGCAAACGCCTGCGCCAACCAATGAGGGTCCTTGACCTCCACAACAGGGATGACTGGGCTGTCACAATGAATGATGGACCCGCCCGAACATGCCACGGCATCATACAGATCATAAATCAAAAGCCTATATATATATATGATTTGGTCTCTGTGTGTACATTAAAGAGCTCGGGATAAACTACAGCGCTGCAGCGTGCGTTAAACGGCGATAGTTCACTTTTAGTTCAAGTTTCAGTGGGTCTCAAAGCGTTTTCGGTCCATTTAGTAACACACTATCTCCATTTGAGGGGTACGTGACTTCAGTAATAGCATGCATAAACCAGCTTCAACTGAGGTGAACAAGGCGTACAGTCACTTTTAAAACGTTGTTGAGAGCTAAAATACCGTTTTGCGGCTGGCTTCAAGAGGAGAACGCGCGGAGGAGCCGCGCGGCGAGAGAGGGAATATGGTGAGGCGATTCACGCGCCGCGCCAGACACACCTCAACAACTATACAATGAACCGAAAAATAAATACCAATATAAACAAGTTCAGTGTGTTTTGCATATTGGATATGGTAGTTATTTGGTTATGGCCATGATTTTATGATTATTGAACTGTATACAGTTCTGTTCCATATAGGTGCTTCGTGTTCCCATAAACTCCTAAGTCCTTTAATTTGCCCCCTCAAAAGTGCCACCAGATTGGATGCATGCCCTCCAACATTTTAAAAACAAAATCTACGGGAGGGCGGCATGCCCCGGACCCCTCTAAGGATTCTTCAGCGTCCACCCCCACCTTAAAATCACCATGGACAGGTTTCCTAATACATTTACATTTTATTAAATAGTCAGCCATCTCGCATATGTTTATTTTTGGGTAAGTGATTTAAACTAATAGGGCCTATCACTATGGCCCAGCAACGCTGTAAATATTGACAAATAATGCCAGCAAAAATGCGCACAAAAAAAAAATTGGTAAGTTGTCTGGCTGGGTGTATAATCATTCTGGGCCTGACTTATTGTCTGGCGGCCGCGGGGCCCTGGCTGTACCGTTCGCTGTACGGCTGTTCGCGGGTTCTGGCCATTCGCGTGAAGGGTTTGCTCAGCAAGCAGTGTTGGGCAAGTACTTTAAAACAAAGTCGACTAGTTAATAGCTTATAGTTACTGCTCTCCCAAAAAAAGTAATAATTACGTTTATTAGTTAGCTAAATTCGAATGCACAAGTACCTAGTAGAACAAGTTACTTTTACTTTACTTACAATAATAACAACAAAATACAAGTTTTTGTGTTGTTCTGTGGCACAGTAAGCACAAAAATGGCAACTCCCGCAAATCATTGTAGGCAATATCATTATGAATGTAGTGGAACAAAAAACACAAAAGATCATGTTAGAGCATTTTGACAGGCCATCTTATGTAGCCTTCAACAATCAAGTTCTAGCAGTATGCAGCTTGTAGTGCAATAATGAAATAAAAATGCAACTACGCCGTAACTTTTCGGACTAAAGCCCGCGCCGTTTTTTATCCCATTTTTCGACCGCTCGCGGCTTATATAAGGGGCGGTATAACGGTGGCGGGCTAATCTAATGGATTCTTGACAGCTAACGGCCACGAGGGGACCTCCTAAATCTCATGGCTTTTCAGGTTACCAGTCCAACACCTTTAACTCTATGGCTCTATGGCCGGTACCTGCGGAACCCCAACTTTAAGCGGCGGGTTCCAGAGGAAAGCTGGAGGCGCGGGAAAAGAGTGAGACAAGGTAGCCTAGGCAAACGTAAAAGTCGGCAAACCCGAGAGTGGTACGAGAAGACAGAAGAGAGCTAAGACAGACGACATTACGAGAGCGACGACAGCTTTGTCCCCGTACCAACTGGTTGAAACCACTGCACGCAGATGCACTGCCGGTACGTGCGCTGGGAGCGCACCGCGTTTAAGTTTGAAAAGTTGAAAAAGTTTGTGTGTCCTGAAAACGCTGTGATTACAGTAACAGTTTACACAGCGACAATGTTCTGTAGCTACTATTGCAAGCTAAATGGCTTAACACTGTGAAATACGTTATGCCAAAATGGCAACTGTGTTTGTTTGAAATGTAATAAATGGGCAAGCTTCGCGTAAGACCAGGGCCATCTCTTTCCGCACAATCGCGCCTCTGTGCGACATACCTTAAGCATATGGTAAAATTAAACATTAAAACACCTGCGGCTTATAGTTCCATGCGGCTTTAAATAATGTGTAGCACATCATTCCAATTTAGCTGCTGCGGCTTATATCAGGTGGCGCCTTAAGTACCGGAAATTAGCGGTACACTCTTCTGGGAGTGTAACAATAAACAAGCAACTACACCTTTTTGGGCAGTAAGCAATTAAATAAATAATAACACTGTCCAGACCTGACACGAAGACAAACAAACTATGTTCAGCCTCACAAAAAACAAACTAACAGTGAAATATATTTTACGCTCCCACATCTGGGCGCATTTGTAGCATAAACATCAAAGCAATAATCGGTGGATAAACCTCAAGAAGAGTGCTTTCGAGGCCTTATAAGCAGTGTTCGGGAACTAAACCGCGTTACTGTAACCGCAAATACGTTTTGCGTAACTAATAGCGTTACTCAGTTACGTATTCCCATTAAG